GCCAACGACAAAGATAAAGGGCAAGGCCCTGGGGACAGAGTTAAGGGCTCATGTCCCCGAAGCAAACACAGGAGCAAACCTCCTGAAAGGGCAAGGCCCTAGGGACAGAGTTCAAGGGCTCCCATCCCCGAAGCAAATACAGGAGCAAGCCTCCTGCAAGGGCAAGGCCCTGGGGACAGAGTTCAAGGACTCCTGTCCCCGAAGCATATACAGGAGCAAGCCTCCTGAAAGGGCAAGGCCCTGGGGACAGAGTTCAAGGGCTCCTGTCCCCGAAGCAAATAAAGGAGCAAACCTCCTGCAAGGGCAAGGCCCTGGGGACAGAGTTCAAGGACTCCTGTCCCCGAAGCATATACAGGAGCAAGCCTCCTGAAAGGGCAAGGCCCTGGGGACAGAGTTCAAGGGCTCCTGTCCCCGAAACAAATACAGGAGCAAGCCTCCTGGAAGGGCAAGGCCCTGGGGACAGAGTTCAAGGACTCCTGTCCCCGAAGCAAACACAAGAGCATGCCTCTTGAATGGGCGAGCAGCCCCGAAGACAGTTCCAAAAAAAAAAAACACTACTGTGCGCAAAAAAGGAAAAAATACTCATGATTTATTTCAAGAAGAAGGGGCTTTGCGTCCCCAAAGGCTACAAAAGAAAATAAAAGGGGTACAATCAAAAAGAAAAAGGGACTTTCATCTGGCTCCGGGCATCTCCAGAACATCAGCCGAGGGCGAGTCAGCAAAAAAAGGTTGAGAAGCTTCTGGAGCAGGCAGGAGAGGTACTTCGGCAACACGGAGACCTTGGGCAACTTGAGGATCAGGAGCATGGTCCGGCGGGGCGTCCTCGGACAAATCCACTATCACTGCCTCGGGCGGATCCGCCGAGACTTGCACCGGCGTTGGGACCTCATCCTCGGCAGCAATCTCTGCTTCGGCCCGTGCCATCTCTGCCGAGGGCACGTACTTGTGCATTTGGAAGAGCGGGGAGTCTGATGGGATTCCAGCAGACTGGAGCGCCTCGTCCCACCCTTTCTTGAAGAACTCCTTGCTGTTTTCCTCAAGAGCAGGGAGCACGTCATCGGCGAACTCTTCCCGGAGTTGCTCCTCCGATTTTCTGTTCAGTGCCTCGGCTCTGATCCTGTCCAGCTCCTGGGTGAGAGCCAGACAGCTTTCCTCTGAGCCTACCGCCCTCTCCTCCGCAGCAGAAAGCCGCCGCGTCTGCTCGGTAATCCTCCCCTTAGCATCGGCAAGGGCAGCACTTAGCTTTTCAGCGCCAACCTTAGCCGACTCGGCATCCTTGAGGAGTTGCTCGATTTGAGCAGCCTGTCCCGCCAGGGTAGAGTCCCTGGCAGCTACGTCCTCTATTGCTCGGGCGAGGGCCCCCTCCGCCTCTTCCTTCTGCTCTCGGGCCCGCTAGAGGTCCATCCTAGACCCATGGTACCGGGCAGCTATTATGGAGATCTGCTGGGTAGCCTGCAAAGGAGGGAAAAAGGTGTATCACAAAAATGGAAAGCGAGAGAGAAGAAACCAAAGCAAAAATAACTCACCACCAGGGAATTCTGGATGATGGAGCGGAACAACACGTTGGTTGATCGCCCCCTATGAGCCGCCATGTCAGCCTCGAAATGCAGTGTCTCACTCACTGCATTGGCGACATGAGGATCCAGCAAAATGGAATCATCGACCCTGATCACTCGGTTCATGTGATCGGTCGCTCGGGGATTCCACTCCGCGGCTTCCACTGTCGGCGGAAGGGAAGGGGGAGTCTGCTGCTGCTGTTGTTGCTGTAGTCGTTGCTATTGCTGTTGCGGAGGAGCAGGGGGTAACCCACGGCCTTTCCCGCTTTGCTGCTGAGCGGAAGGTGCCCTGGATCCCCGGCCGAGGCCATCGTGCCGATATTTGACCCTTCTCTCCTCCTCTACCTGAGGATCCCGGTCACGCACTTGACCCCGGCTGAGAACTCTTGAGGATGGGGTGGAACTGGTCCCTGCAGAGGGGGCACCGCCAGTCGATCCTCGACCCCTCCCGGCTGCAAGGGCTTGCCTCTGCCTCAGGAACCCTAGGTCGATGCGAGGCGTGCTGGACATCGCGACCTCGAGGGCGTCCTCGGCGTCTAAAGATTGTAGAACTTGGAAGTCTGGCCACAAGTCTCCTCCCGAAGTCCCCACCTCGGCGTCCGAAGGAACAACGTCCTCTCTGACCCCGAGCTCTTCAACAACTCCCTCTACCTCTGCCTCCGAAGCCCGATCAGGGTCTTCCTCCAAGTTTTCCTCGACCTCTTGCCTTGCCGCCTGATCGAAGAGTTCAGACCACTGCGAAGGCTCAAAGACTGAGGAAGCTGTGAAAATTTCTTATACCCGGGGGTGTAATTCAGCAGGATGTGGGCAGCCCGGCCGAACCCGTTGTCACCAGTAAATCTCCAAACCGTGACTAGGTCGACAAAGTTCACTAGCGACCGAGGGGGAGGAGCTGTTTCCCGAGCAGGAATATCTGCACAAACAAAAAAGTAGTCATGAACATGGGAAATCTGAAGAACGAAATAATAAACCCGAAGGAACCGACGTACTTGTCGTTCTCCATTCCAGAGGGCATAACAAGTCGTTATACTCGGGACCAACACCTCTCTGCCAAGATCCCTTGAAGATAAGAATATCATCCTTGTACCCCTTGTCCGAGTCGGGAAGATGAGTTACAAGGTACATGGAGGGGTCCCTGGCTTTGAGGTAGAAGTGTTGGTGAGGCATGACTCTCAGGAGGGAATAACAAAAAAGGAGATCGTTCAGCCCAATATTTACCCCGAGACGCCTATTGAGCTCTAAGACCCCCATAATTATTTGGAAAACATTAAGGCAACATTGCCCGGGGAAGAGGCGGAAGTGAGAAAGGAACTGAAGAAGTAAGGGGGGTAAAGGAAACCTAATTCCTCCCTCTATTATGGCCTTGGTATAAAAGGGCATAGCATCCTCGGCCCCGAGGGTAGAAGAGTGCACCACCGGGTCATAATCCTCTACGTCTACGCACGGGGGAATGCCGTACTTGACCTTAAACCTATCAATCTGCTCACCACCCCTTACTTTATACTTCCCCGACCCCGAAGAACTAGCCTGAGGATTCTCGGGAGCAGGGCGACGACGAGGCATCTCTAAGAAGGTGAGAAAGTAGAGGGTGTTTGTTCTTAAAAATCCCTGAGGAGGTTTTCCGAGGGTTAGTCGCTATGTATCAACCGGAGACACCTCCAGTCATCGAAAAACAAAAGGATAGGAGGAAGAAAAGAAGGAAGATACTGGAACTCACCTGAATGTCAAACGGAGTTTTTTCTGGAAAACCTTAAAGCGACTCCTTGCACAAAGTTCAGAAGCAACGATGGGTCTGCTGGCCTTAAGACTTTAAGGAAGAATGGGCAGTCGACGATGGAAGAAGAAAGAGATCTCCGGCGAAGGTTCAAGAAAAGGCTCTCTTGAGGAAGTTTGGAATGGCGAAACAAGAAAACGGAAGAGGAGCCCCATTTATATAGAGGCAATTTTCATCATTGGGCGCGAAAAATAAAATGGCGCATTTAATGCGCACGACATCCCAAGCCGGGGAAAGCGGCTCGAGGCAATGATGAAGTAGTTGTGGTGGTTGGGAAACCCTTCGTCTCCTTACGACGCGTGCCCTCGATGTCAGAAGATCGAAGGCTGGGGGGCAGTTGATGGGACTTTTCTGAAAAACCCTATGATGAAAACACGTGTCCTCGGTGTTACTAAAACACTGTTGCTAAGATCAAGCACCATCGGCGCACAAAGGTCCTCGCCCCCGAGGTAATCGTCATATAGGATCATGCAATTAGTATGTTTTACAACCGACACGTGGCATCGGTCTGATATGGTACCTTGGTCGTATCCCCTCCCTCGGTTCCCAGATCAGCCTCTCCTCGGTGCCGAGGTGTACCATCCTAGACGCCTCCTCTACTCCAGGATAAGCTATTGACGTACAGGTCATTAGCCTAGGCTATTCATCATAACCTCGTCTTACACAATTAGTGTCAGAACGTACTGGAAGGCAGGGGCCACAGCCAATGAGGGATGGACGCGTGGCATATGATATCACATCGAAGATAGAGAAACTGCATGCCGTTGCTGACACGCGACTTGGGAAAGCAAACTATTAATTACACCATTCCCTTGATGAGACCGCATTCAATGCGGTAAGGCTCGGAAATGAAAGACAATAAATACTCCTAATATAGAGCATTTATTGCATCCTCCCCGAGAGGAGTACATTGTACCGTCGGCATCCCGATGACGCAGCATTGATTGCTCGGGACCCCGAGCAGTTAAGAAGAGAAGACATTCCTCATCAGAATCAGTGCGCACACTGCCTATACCTAATGATCACATACTGACTACACTGACAGCAATCATGAGATTTTGAGGTATAAATACTCCTTGCAAAAGGCAAGACGGGGATGCAACAAAAAACTCTTTGCTACAATACTCACTCAGTGTTTTCTCCTTCCTCTCTCTTTCTAAAAGACTGACTAGATCGTCAGAGGGGATACGCCGGAAAACATTCCGGCGCCCTTCTAACTTGTTCTTCTTTGTTCCAGGAACCTCTTTCAGCCTTACTGGATCGTTCTTCCGTTCCCCCAGGGTCTCCCATTGCCGTTCCAGGTTACTACCGGACCTCGCAGGCAGTTCCAAGCAGCATGTTTGGTCACTCAACCGGTTCACTCGAGTTCACCAAGGGAGATATATGTTCTCGTTTTTTATATTGTGCAGGATCTTGCACGCACAGAATTAAAGATAGAATAACAAACATCCACATCATGTGTTTATCATTACATGTATGACGTTTAAATTAAAATGAGTAGATATATATTATCCGATTTTACCTTTCAAATATTAGAGATTATTAGGTAATAAATATAGTGGTAATCAGTTGGTTGTGCTTGATAACATGTTATAAAACTAGCAAATTATTTAACTGCAAACAGCTAATTTAAAAACTTACGGAGGTTCCCTTTTATAGGGAAAACATGCCTCCTATTACACCCACCCCCAACCCAACTACCACGTTCATGACACCGAGGATCTTTTCCTACAGTTTCTTATGATCCTACTACCAATTCTCTCAGTTTTTTTTCCTTTTTGCGCCCTTTTCAGTTCCTCTACATTTTTCTTCCTTGGTATGCTTTCGCTTCAGGAAATTAACAACTTCAACGAGAACAATATCAGGGTTGTCGCTCTTTATTAGCTCCCCAGCCATTTCTGCAGGGGTCGCCTGCACATTCTCAATTAGGCCTTCGATCTCACCAAAGAGCCTGTGGTGATTATTGCAGTTGGTAAGGTACTTGGATGCCAAGAGCCTAAATCCTTCAGGTGTACAGTAGGACATGGGAATGTGCATGTCCATTCGACCAGATCGCAACAGAGCAGGATCAAGGCGGTCAATATGGTTAGTTGTGAAAATAATGATCCGTTCATCTCCACAACTCGACCACAATCCATCAATGAAGTTCAATAGCCCCGACAGTGTCAACTGCATGTAGAAGAAATTAGGCCTGACATTTTAGATCTGACATGTAGAATAATTGATTTGGATGTAACTAAACAAGTAAACTCGTTAGACTTTTTAGATATTTTGAAATAAATAGATCGACAAAAACCAACTAAACATAGTTGACAAGAGAGAACCAGTCCTTATACAATTATAAATTAGTTAATGAAATAAATTTTGGCATGACAATTTTGAAGAGTAATGGTACAGGGACATAATTCAATAAAGTTATTGAATTAAATGTAAGTTCCAATTGATGAATTAAACTAGATCTCTACATTATGCCTCTAAAGTAATTACAAAGAACATTTTTCAATTTGGAAATTATACCATTCTTTTGAAAACAAAAAATCTTAAAAGTGCAATGATTTAGAGACCTAATTTAGAGATCTAATTTGAAAAATCTAATTAAGGACATAATTCAATGTAACCAATAAATTAGTTTTTAGTCCCAAATTTAAATGGAGCACATTCTCAATTTAATGATGAATTTAATTAAAATTTTAAATTGAGTACCAAAATTATTTCCAACTAACCTTGTTGTTGTTGTTGTTGTTGTTGTTGTTGTTGTTGTTATTGTAATGGTAATTTATCAACTGCCGATCATTGATATCGACACTGCAGTCGATGTCCTCAATCACAATGATCGATCGATTCGTAGTGGATGTCAAAATTCTCCTCAATTCCGAGTTCGAGCGCACGCTTGTAAGCTCCAAGTCATATATGTCGTACTTCAAGTAATTCGCCATGGCTGCGACCAAGCTCGATTTCCCAGTCCCAGGAGGCCCATACAACAAGTACCCCCTCTTCCAAGCCTTCCCAACCCTCTTGTAAATATCTTTTCCCCTCACAAATCTCTTCAAATCATGGATTATCGCCGCCTTCGTCTCTTCATGCATAGCAAGAGTCCCAAACGTTGACGGATGCTCAAAATTGATCGAACCCCAAATCGCTTTATCGTTAGACAGATTCATAGCATAGAGCTTCATCACCTTGTCATTATCCTTTATCCTTTGGTACTCTTCCATTACATGGGGCAAATACTCGTTCAACACTTTTTCTTTGAACTTCTTGTGAAAAGTGAGCTCAAACAAATTTTTTTCTGAAGTAATAATGGTTGGGTTCGGACTCTTAAGCTGAATGCAGACGAATCTCCATTTTAGTTGAACGTTCTGGAAAGTATCGGCGATCTCTTCATTTTTCTCGACGCTGGTGTAGAGTTTTTTATCTCTCGTAGTGTTGTGAACTTTGAATCGCTTGGTGTTGGGGCCGATTTTCGTACCCAGGTATATCTCTGCGGCTTCGTAGATATGATTACGAGTGATTCCGCGAAACTCGTCGATGATAATGGTGAGTTGAGTGGAGCATAGAGTGTAGAGGTACCGAATGGCCGATTGGATGCAATGTTGGACCGGTTCGACGATGATCGACGAGGCCAGAGATAATAGAGTTGACGGCGATGACATTTCCGAGAAGCCAAACAATTTTCAGAGTATTTGAGATGGGAAATATATTGGAATTTGAGAATTAGAACTCGGTAATTTGCTTGAGTGTGTGAGAAACCTCACCTTAAATAGACACACAAGAGAGAGAGAGAGAGAATTCCAAATGTGGCCTACAAGGAAGGATCGGCAATAGAGTCAGAATGTTCCGGGATATCAGCTTTTGGGCACCATGCCTGATCCTGAATGACGGGAGACTAATGATAAACCAGGAATCTTCTTTCAACATATGAACTCCAAATAACATTTCTCATGGCAGAAACCAGGAATCTTCTTGCTAGTGGAGTGGAATATAAAAAGAGTTTTTCACCGTAACCATGCTCCTCCAAAACATAATTCCCAATTTAGCTTTGATTATTTCTCAGCTTGTATATTTTATTTTGTAAAAATTATTTAATTTTTTTTTTAAAAAAACTTGCTGAATGAATAGTTTAAAAATTGTCAATAATAGTTCCACTTTTCCCACCCCTTGTTTGATGTGGACAATCAACCCAAGTATCATTCTTTTATTATGTATAAATAAGAGTAAAATTGATTTGTTGGAATAAATAAGAAGCTACTCACCCCAAATATTGCTTAAGTTATTGAGTCCCCTTGTCTTCTCTTTCTTTTTAGTTGGGAGATGGAATACATTAAAAAGTGAAATACGAGTTAGTTTAAGTTGATCTGTTGTCAACCTTGTTTGTTTCCTTCCGTATTCAATAATACATTAATTTGATTTTCATTTGATGTTTATACATGGAAATTGTTGACTTTAAATTTAGTGTCACTGTTACTTGTTTGTCTATAACCTTGTGAGTTCAATACCATTCCACTTGATATTGTGCTACCCATTGTACCTGAACTTCTGTTTTTAATTCCAGTAAGCAAATACCTGATATAATCATTGTCTCTTGATCAACGATATACAACAATTCTAATATCAAGAGCCCCATTAATTGATTAGTATGTTAAAGACACCACATTTCTTTTTCACGCAGTCACTACTTTAATTCATATCAAAGATGGACAAACAAATTTGACGATGAAATGACTGTATTAGCTAGTGGAACGCATGGGACAAAAGACTGGTATCGAAGGATGACGCATGAAAGGCCAATAAAAAGAAAAAAGAAATGTAAATTCAAATGAAATTTAAACGCATAGTCATGATTTGACATTTTGAAATGAGCGGTAACTTTCCAAAAAGTGATGGGGTAGAGAGGTGGTCGTTGAAAAGTGGCCAGAAGACCTTACCTTTTCTGGCCGCAGAGGCTGCAAAAGTCTTTGGAGATTTGTGGCCAGAAGCTGCCAAGGCATTTCAGGCTTGTTGAAAACCTGGCTTGCACATGGTTTTGGATGGGTCGTGGGGTTTGTGTTCTAGACTTCTACCATGGGTGTTTTTTAAGAGAAGATATTCGTGGGCAGGAACATTGTGGGCTTCAAATATTTTGGCAACCGTAACTACGAATCGATCACTGCAATGCTGCTCAGCAGCAGTCCAAATCTTGTATCTTAAATACATGTACATTACCCATTTCATTTTAGGGGTTTTAAAAAATTAATTTTTTCATTCAATATGTGGTGCACTTGCATTTGAGATATAAGATTTAGACTAAAAATTGGGCAGCTTAGTATTTTTCCTGCTAATCGCAGGGACGAGTTTATTCAAAAAGGAAATAATCTATCTTTGAAAGGAATATAGGTGTCTCATTAGTTTATTATGCGATTTTTTGTGTTTCTCTGTCTTGAACTTCATATTATCGAGTAATGTACGATAGAAACTATAATTAACATTTCAGTACTTATTCAGAATTATCTTTTAATATGCACTATTTTGAGAATTGATATATAGTAGTTCTGAGCAGATATCATTTTACATTATTTCTTAGAGAAAGGTGTAATAGACGGGAAAAGAAAACTAGACGTCTTCTTGGTGTGTTGAATTGCTCGAGTCTTTAACCATAATATCAATTAAGGGGCTGGGACCACTTGCTAAAGAAGCGAATAGACAAGAAGTATTTTAAGTAGACATAATATCATAAGAGCAGTGCCATTGGGACGTAATTTATTAATATAATTTACTGACATAATTTACTGTGATCTTTAGATTCATTGTAGATTTTATCAAAAATTAAAATTTGGTGTTGATCCAATGATTCCTATGAAGCCACATTATTATGTCAGTAAATTAGGTCAAATTTTTAGGTCTAAATAGTATTACTCATATCATAATTGGATGAAACACACATGTATCTAGAAAGAGATATGATACACAATTATGAAAGAATAATGAGATTAAGGGAATAGTTGATGTAAAAGCGTGGATCGACAGTCAATATATGTATATAATAAAATATGAGTGTGTTTGAATTTTATTTCAGTCATATTTTTCTCCTCAACACTATCATCAATCACTTACCTCACCCATCATCCTTTTGTCAGACTCAAACATCAAATCGCATCATTTATTTCTATCATATGTTTAACTATTTATATATTTCTTCTCTAAAAATAACACATCACTCATTTTTATCATATATTTAATTATTTAATATTTGATTAATTTGTGGTTAATATATTTTTAAAAAAATTAATATAATGGAATTGATTTTTTAAACGCTCGAATTTTATATTTTATCAAGGTACGGATTATGTCTAATATATTATATTAATTGAAATAGTGACATTTTTTTTGAATTGAGGGAATGGATTGACACTCAAGGGACAATATGTATGGTTTAATTTAAATTGCTTTTTAATTGTGCTGGAGAGACATATGTAACAGAAGTAGGGTTTTATAAGAGGTTTAACTGCTTTACAGTTTTTTAAAGCTTCTTTCGATGCGAAGAAATGCAGTGAAATTGAATTGGGCTAATTAATTTTTAAATTATTAGTTAAAAAATATTTTTTTTCTTTCTTTGCACTGGTTTAATATAATTATGAATAATTTAGATATTAAAAAAGATTTCTTCTGACTTTTTTTTTTTTTTTTTTTGAATAATAGAATGAAATTTTTTTTAAAACTTTCTTTTAAATTTTTCATGTTAACTAAATATATACATGAAAATATATTTTATTTTCTTTTCTTTACTTCACTCTCACTTTTCATCATTCTTTTCTTTTTAATCAATCGAACCCAAGAGAATAGCATAAGTTTAGAGGAATAGAGTTTTTCTCAGCCATCTTATTTGAAATTTCTTAACTATCATATTATGAGAATTTTTTTGATAAAGTTTAGAAAATTAGAAGTGGGTAAATGTTTAAATGCCCAAGGTGATTTTGTTTGTGAAAAAAAAAAAAAAAGTGGGGGCGGGAGAAGGGGTGAATTGCACTGTTTATCCTAAAAAATTTTAAAATTCTTATTTTGTACCCTCAAAATTAAGTTTTATATATATATATATACTCAATGTATTAAAAATATTACAATTTAACCCTTCTGTTAACTTTATGTTAGTTTATTTTAACCGTGTTAATGAGTTGACTTTTGACAATAAAAAATAATTGAAACTAACAGAATGACCATATTGATACATTGATGATATAATATGTAAATTTAACTTTTAAGAGTATAAAGTAAAAATCTTGAAATCTGTTCGGATATAAAATACAAAAAACCCAAAAAAACAAAGAAAAATTTTCAAACTCGAGAACAGAACATCCCCACTTGGTTTTGCAACAGTTCATGTCCCTTTGGTATTTCGAATTCTGAATAGCATGTCTGCTGCGTTACTTCGTTAATGTGGTATTAGACAGTTAAGTTATAATAATAATTCGGTGTAGTCCGAAGTCAATCCACATGGAATGAGTAAATTGAATTATAATGCAAGGAAAAACAAGTTTCATAAAAAGGTAGAACTGTTTAGAAAGCAATTGTTAAAAAATAAGTTAATGGTAAACAATAATTGAAAAATGACTCTTTAGCTCCGGGATCTGGGTTTGCTCAATTTACTTGAATTTACGTAATATTGATTATCTCAATTAATTTTCGACATCAATTTAGTTAACCTGAAAATATTTTTTGAATGAACAAATTAAATTAATTGATTTAAAAAAAATTAATTGATGATTAATCAATGATATTGATGATTAATCAAATAATTGCATAAAATATCAAATTTTACTGAGAACATTCAATCAATCAAAAAAATAAAAGATTTAACATTGATATCAAAATACAAATTACATAAATATAAAGATCTGAATAAATAATTATGAATATGTCAACCCTAATTAAAGAGTACAAAAAGACTACTTACAATTCCTGACTATTGCTCCAAGAATTGTGATGAAAAAAAAATAACAAACTAGGTTAAACGACTTCTGGGCTAGGAAGAAGGATAAATCACCTCTCAATAGCATGCAGATATATTTATAGTAAAATATTTGTACAAGCCAATGTGGATCAAGTTTCTCTCAAACCGACTTGACTTCCTTCATGTATTAATCAAAAATAGCTAAGGATCGATCCATGCAAAGTAGTCTTCAAATCAACAACAACAAGCAAGGATTGATTCCCATTAAGTAGGGATCGATCCTTACATAATTGTCATGTTTTTTGGATACCTCCGTGGATCATGCTTCATGGTCCCTTCGGACTTTCTATCCAAGCTTTAATCTTCTCGTGGATCAATCATTTTTAACTCTCTAGTACTTTTGTTTTGGTATGTAACAAATATACATGGAAGACTCATAGATACATCATAATTATTAACAACTATTTATCCTATAAATAATTATTTTACCTTTGATCAATTCAATTCATACTCATGTTAAGTGGTACAATTGTCTTTTTGGATTATTAACCCCTTACCCATCTTCTCAAATTCACCCCCTCCCTAGACTAGATGAAACTCATGATTATGAGTTTAATCTTTAAGCCAGTTATGGGCCGGGTTTGAAAACCCAGGACTGAATTTTCTATATAATCATGAGATTTGAGAGTCCTTTGAACAATTTTTCCCAAACCCTTCTTATCAAGCCCC